CGCACACACACACCCCCACACACACATTGACGCACACACACACACACGACACCCACACACACACCCACACACACCCACAACACACACACACACACAAACACACACAGCACACCCCACCCACACACACACGACACACACAACACACCTCTTCGTGCCCCCCCCCCTCGCCCCCCGCCCCCCCCCCCCCCCCCCCCCCCCCCCGACACCCCCCCCCCTTCCTCCTCCAGCAGCACTCGGCGCGAGGGATACGCGCGACGCGCGTTGCGTCGGATCATCTCCAGAAGACGACCCAATGAAAACGCGCGCCAGAGAGCGGCCTGGTAGACGACCCCAGAGGAAGCACGCGAGGCAAAGGCCCCAGATGGAGGGAACACCCGCCTGAAACTGTCTCGCAATTCGGTCCAGACGACACTTCAGCTCGAGACATCCCCCAGAAACCAGCTTCAGGAACGCCAGCATGACCGCAGTTACAAGACTCCGATGGCCCCCCACAGCACTCACATGAGCTGCGGGCCCCAGGGGAGGGGGCTGACGCCAGAGACCCCCTCGATAATCACCCGCGCACGACGCCCCCGCTCGACGCCCACCCCGCGCTCAGGCCCCCAGGCCCTGAAGATACGACAGCTACAAGAATGAGATGATCTTCTCGAACTGCCCACCCCCACCCCCAAACGAGGCACCAACCAACCCGCCCACACCAAAGTCAAAAAAACAACCCCCCCCCCCCCCCCCCCCCCCAACAACACACCCACACACACTCACACTCACACACACACACAGACACACACACACACACACACAGCACGCACACACCCCCACAACAACGACACCCACACAAGAGCACACACACACACACACACCACACACACACACACACACACAACTCACACACACACGACACAACACACACACACACACACACACACAAACACACAACCCACACACACACACACCACACCCCACCCCACATTCCCCACCCCCGAAGTGCGTGCGCGAGTGCGCAAATGAATGAATGAGTGAATGCATGAATGAATGAATGAATGAATGAATTAGCGACGCCGACGACGACGCGCGCGCGCGAGTAGACGGATAGGTGGCGGGCGAACGCGCGAGCGAAGGAGTGGCGCACGATGATCGAGCGCGAGTGAGCGGGCGAGCGGGCGCACGCGCGCGCGATGACGACGTTGCGGCGACGATGATGATGCGAGTGCGTGAGTGCGCGAATGAATGACTGAGTCTGCAAGTGAAAATGACGCGGTGATGAGGACGCGCTCGCGCACGAGTGAGCGAGCGAACGCGCGCGAACACAAGCGGCGTTCTCGCGTTCCTGCGCGGGGCACCCAGAGATAGCAAGAACCCCACGGTGGACGCGGGGACTGGACCCCCTTGATGATGGTTCGAGACCCGGGGGGGCCCTGCCTCCAAGTTTGAAAATGGCATATCCCCCATCCGCGGCGGCGTTCGCGCGCTGCGCCCCGCCCCCTCCTCCAGCGCAACCAGAATAGGAAAAGCGCAACGGCCCAGTTCGCATACAGAGCGCAGGCACAGTCTACCACTACGCGCACGCAGGAATTTCGCGCACCAGCGCGTCGATTGCAATCTCATTTACTTCGGGGGACACGAGCGGATGCCCAAGGCCACAAGCTACAAGACCGAAAGCGCCCCCTGCGCGGTCTTCCGCAGCGTCGCCACAGGGCAAGGGGCTGCCGCGCATCCAGAGCCAGCTCTCTGCGAAACAACCGAAATCCCCTCGATATCGTCCACAGCTTTCATCCGCCACCGCCTCCAGCACGTGCTGGGGCGCCCAGAGACTCGTGCGTCTGAGGCTGTAGTTCTCCTGGATCCGATTCACCAGTTTCTCACGCGCTCCACAAAGCCTCTGAACGTCTGGAAGGTTCCCACCATGCTAGCAAGAACCTCGACGGGCCCCGAAGACGGCCAAAGACAGCCCCAAGCCGCGGAAAGCTCGCTCCGGGGCGCCCACGACGGGCCCAACACGGCTCGAGAGACCGACGGGGCGCCCCAGGAAGCACTCCAGAGACTCCCCACAAAGCTCTCAAAAAACCAAGCTCGCCCAATCCCTCTGGACCACGCGCACACGTGGCGCGCACGAACTCCACGGTTTAGCGGCGTCGACGACCTTCCCAGGCGCATCCGAGACCGCCCCCCCGACGGCCCAAAAATTCCAAGGAGGCCCCCAACACAGCCCAAGAGAGCTCCAAGACGGCCCGCGAGGTGTCCAACACGGCCCCACACCACTCCAGGAAGGCCCCAAGAGGGGGCCGGGGACGGCCGCGAACCAAGAATGCCAACCCCCCCGCCCCAAGAGGCCCAGGGGGCCCAAGAAGGGCACGAACGGCCCCGCGAAGCCTCCGAGAGATCCCGCAGACACCCCAGAAGGCCTCCGACAAGCCCAAAAGATGTCACCGGACTGCCCTACGACGCTTCGGAATTACCTCCAAGAGCCCCGCGCGAAACCTCCCAGTGACTCCAGCGAACCTCCAATAAGGCCCACTCCCACAAGCCAGGAGCGGCGGCAGGACGGGGCGAAGGCCACTAGAATAACAAAGGGCAAATCGTACTTAGAGCCTATTGGGAAGGAGTCGCTAACGATAAAGGTCTCAGCTGCGGCCAAGCCAGAGCCCGCGTGGGCCACCACTGCGTGCTTTTTCAAAAGCTGAGCGCGTCGCACATGGGCGCGGCACTGCTTCGCCTGCGCCGAAAGATTCACGACGCCCGCAACGCCCATTCGCGACGCTCTCACTCTAGTCCCATATCCAGGAGTTCCGGCCTGGAGGCCAGAGCAAAACGAAATCGATGATGCGGGGCTCCGGGAAACAGCTGCCGCAGGCGAAGGAATACTTCGGGTTCTCAGGGAAGTACTTCGCCAGGTTGCTGGCACTCCGCCACCGCGCCCCCCTGCGCGGCGACGCTGGCGACCATGCTGAACGCTGCCTGGCAGTGGTGCAGTGGTAGAGGCGGCCCTTCATGCCAGTCACAGGCCTGCCAGTCGCCAGATTGCGCGCGCTAAAAGATCTGGCATCTCATCACACGGCCCTGAAGGAGGTGCTGAACTGGCAAGGTGGCGGACGTCCAACAAAACATATGATAGTGAACAGCGAACCGCACCGGTCGCGTGGCACAATGCACACAGGCACATCTTAGAGAGGAGGGACATCGTAGCGAGGCTGTCGAACAGCCTCATGCCAAGAATGAGACTGAGGGGAGATGCGGACACAAAACGTAGAGGCAGAGATTACAAGAGACTCGCTTCACAGAGGGCTACACGAAGGGTTCGGCTGGCGCGCCGGCCAGACTTGAATCAGATAGTTGGATGTCGTCCGAACCCCAGGTTGTTGAACACTCTCCTCAAAACGACCCCGACACTATGACTAGTCCACAACATTCGAATCATGGAACCAGATAGCGCAGCC